TCAGTGGTCTAGTGGTAGAATACATCGTTGCCATCGATGTGACCCGGGTTCGATTCCTGGCTGATGCACATTGTTCTCCTGAGTCGGTGAGAGCGGGTGAGATGGCGAGGTGAGGGGGGGCACAAGAAGCAGAGACTGACAGTCACATGTAAAGAGGAAAAGTCTCCATAGAGCGAGAAAAAAGCTCCATAGAGAAGAGTTCCCGTAAAGTCCCCGTAAAGAGGAAAAGTCTCCATAGAGAGAGAAAAAGTCTCCATAGAGAAGAGTCCCCGTAAAGTCCCCGTAAAGTCCCCGTAAAGAGGAAAAGTCTCCATAGAGAGAGAAAAAGTCTCCATAGAGAAGAGTTCCCGTAAAGTCCCCGTAAAGTCCCCGTAAAGAGGAAAAGTCTCCATAGAGAGAGGAAAAGTTTCCATAGAGAGAGAAAAAGTCTCCATAGAGAAGAGTCCCCGTAAAGTCTCCATAGAGAGAGGAAAACTCTCCATAGAGAGAGAAAAAGTCTCCATAGAGAGAGAAAAAGTCTCCATAGAGAAGAGTCCCCGTAAAGTCCCCGTAAAGAGGAAAAGTCTCCATAGAGAGAGAAAAAGTCTCCACAGAGAAGAGTTCCCGTAAAGTCCCCGTAAAGTCCCCGGAAAGAGGAAAAGTCTCCATAGAGAGAGAAAAAGTCTCCATAGAGAAGAGTCCCCGTAAAGTCCCCGTAAAGAGGAAAAGTCTCCATAGAGAGAGAAAAAGTTTCCAGAGAGAGAGAAAAGGTCTGTTCCTGTCTGACCTTTTTTGTCAGGAAAGGTTTGAATCCAAAATCCTCTCCTCTCTCCTCTTCTCTCCTGTCTCCTCTCTCCTCTTCTTCCCTTCCCTTTTGTTCCTTTCCTTTTTGTTCCTGTCCGACCTTTTTTGTCAGGAAAGGTTTGAATCCAAAATCCTCTCCTCTCTCCTCTTCTCTCCTGTCTCCTCTCTCCTCTTCTTCCCTTCCCTTTTGTTCCTGTCCTTTTTGTTCCTTTCCTTTTTGTTCCTTTCCTTTTTGTTCCTTTCCGACCTTTTTTGTCAGGAAAGGTTTGAATCCAAAATCGTCTCCTCTCTCCTCTTCTCTCCTGTCTCCTCACCTGTCCGCAAGAGAGAAAAGAGGAAAAGTCTCCATAGAGAGAGAAAAAGTCTCCATAGAGAAGAGTTCCCGTAAAGTCCCCGTAAAGTCCCCGTAAAGAGGAAAAGTCTCCATAGAGAGAGAAAAAGTCTCCATAGAGAAGAGTCCCCGTAAAGTCCCCGTAAAGACGAAAAGTCTCCATAGAGAGAGAAAAAGTCTCCATAGAGAAGAGTCCCCGTAAAGTCCCAGTAAAGAGGAAAAGTCTCCATAGAGAGAGAAAAAGTCTCCATAGAGAAGAGTCCCCGTAAAGTCCCCGTAAAGACGAAAAGTCTCCATAGACAGAGAAAAAGTCTCCATAGAGAAGAGTCCCCGTAAAGTCCCCGTAAAGAGCAGTCTTGTCCCAAAAGAGTGATTCTTGCAAGCTTGAACCTTCCCGTACAAGCCCGTAAAACCTTCCCCAGTTCTCTTGACCTTTACGGGGACTCTTCTCTATGGAGACTTTTTCTCTCTCTATGGAGACTTTTCCTCTTTACGGGGACTTTACGGGGACTTTACGGTGACTTTACGGGCACTCTTCTCTATGGAGACTTTTTCTCTCTCTATGGAGACTTTTCCTCTTTACGGGGACTTTACGGGGACTCTTCTCTATGGAAACTTTTTCTCTCTCTATGGAGACTTTTTCTCTTTACGGGGACTTTACGTGGACTTTACGGGGACTTTACGGGACTCTTCTCTATGGGGACTTTTTCTCTCTCTATGGAGACTTTTCCTCTTTACGGGGACTTTACGGGGACTCTTCTCTATGGAGACTTTTTCTCTCTCTATGGAGACTTTTCCTCTTTACGGGGACTTTACGGGGACTCTTCTCTATGGAGACTTTTTCTCTCTCTATGGAGACTTTTCTTTTTTACGGGGACTTTACGGGGACTTTACGGGGACTCTTCTCTATGGTGACTTTTCCTCTCTCTCTCTATGGAGACTTTTCCTCTTTACGGGGACTTTACGGGGACTTTACGGGGACTCTTCTCTATGGAGACTTTTTCTCTCTCTATGGAGACTTTTCTTTTTTACGGGGACTTTACGGGGACTTTACGGGGACTCTTCTCTATGGAGACTTTTCCTCTCTCTCTCTATGGAGACTTTTCCTCTTTACGGGGATTTTACGGGGACTCTTCTCTATGGAGACTTTTTCTCTCTCTATGGAGACTTTTCCTCTTTACGGGACGGGGACTTTACGGGACTCTTCTCTATGGGGACTTTTTCTCTCTATATGGAGACTTTTCGTCTTTACGGGGACTTTACGGGGACTCTTCTCTATGGAGACTTTTTCTCTCTCTATGGAGATTTTTCCTCTTTACGGGGACTTTACGGGGACTCTTCTCTATGGAGACTTTTTCTCTCTCTATGGACTTTTCCTCTTTACGGGGACTTTACGGGGACTTTACGGAGACTTTTCCTCTTTACGGGGACTTTACGGGGACTCTTCTCTATGGAGACTTTTTCTCTCTCTATGGAGACTTTTTCTCTCTCTATGGAGACTTTTCCTCTTTACGGGGACTTTACGGGGACTTTACGGGAACTCTTCTCTATGGAGACTTTTTCTCTCTCTATGGAGACTTTTCCTCTTTACGGTGACTTTACGGGGACCTTATCTATGGAGACTTTTTCTCTCTCTATGGAGACTTTCCTCTTTACGGGGACTTTACGGGGACTCTTCTCTATGGAGACTTTTTCTCTCTCTATGGAGACTTTTCCTCTTTACGGGGACTTTACGGGGACTCTTCTCTATGGAGACTTTTTCTCTCTCTATAGAGACTTTTCGTCTTTACGGGGACTTTACGGGGACTCTTCTCTATAGAGACTTTTTCTCTCTCTATGGAGACTTTTCCTCTTTACGGGGACTTTACGGGGACTCTTCTCTATGGAGACTTTTTCTCTCTCTATGGACTTTTCCTCTTTACGGGGACTTTACGGAGACTTTTCCTCTTTACGGGGACTTTACGGGGACTCTTCTCTATGGAGACTTTTTCTCTCTCTCTATGGAGACTTTTAAACTTTTGCAATCGATTATGGGGCTCTGGACCTGGATTATGGGTCTTCCACATGTGGTTTCATGGACCTTTTTCTTTACATAAATCAACCTAAATCAACCCTTCCTTTGAAAGGTTTTGATGTTAATACAGGTAGCCTGCTAAGATTGTTAAGATATGACCATGCCGACAACTAAGATTCCTTCGACCAATGAGATCATTGGCCCGCAATTCTTATTTAACCAATTGGGACCCTTTAGCCCTTTAGCCGCTAATTGGAAACCATGTTCTTTCAAACCCTTTTCCAATTCTATTGACGCAAAAGGATGTCCAGTCCAAATTTCGAAATAACATCATTCCTAAATCGAAATTCTGTTCAATGGGATCCCAGGTCAAACAACTTTAAAGTGATTGCATTTTACATATTCAGGATCTAATTGGGATTAACTGGGTATATGGAGGCAGCAGCGACCGAAAATAGCCAAGACACATGCCTTTTGAACTATAGTAAAGGTGCATAGAGCCAACAAATCAAGATAGTAACAATCCCCAAAAAACTCAAATCTGTCAAAGGTTCAATTTTGTTAGGATCTAAACCTTAAATTTTTCAGCAACTTATTTTACAGACTTTGTGGACCTTTTTTCCGTTGCGGACGATTATGGGGCATGAGACGTCCTGAGATCTGCTGATTTTTTTTTTTCGGCGGAACTTTTGGGGGCCTGTGCCCCTTGATCGGTTGCATTTGTTTTTTTACGGACTTTGTCCGTCGGCGGAACTCCACTACACAAATTGTGTACCTGACTTCTGCTGATTTTTTTTTTCGGCGGAACTTTTGGAGGCCTCTGCCCCTTGATCGCTTGCATTTTTTTTTTACGGACTATGGTTTTTTTTGTTTTTCGGCGGAACTCCACTACACAAATTATGCACCTGACATCTGCTGAAAAAGTTTTTTTTCAGCGGAACTTAGTATTCAGACCTATGGTTCGGCGGAACTCAACATCACAAAATGTGTAGTGGACTTCTGCTGATTCAATGGTTTTCCCTAGGATTTCTGCTGATTTTTTTTTTTCGGCGGAACTCAACATCACAAAATGTGCGCCTGAGTTCTGCTGATTTGTATGGATTTTCGGCGGAAGTTCATAAGTTTAGTAACAGAGCGTCCCTGCAGCATTTTCTCTCATTGGCTTGTTACTGACCCAGCTGCAATGGATGCAATGGAAGAGGATTGGAGTGAGCCTGAATTTCAGGACACTGAATTCAAAGTATGCCCCGTTTAATTGATGGACTCTAGGTCCTCTAACATATATTCTCAAGTTTTTTGGGAATTAAATCTTGTATGGGAAATATCACCCTGCCACATATATATGTTCCTCATGTGATTTGTGGCCAACGCTGAGTTTCGGCTCACAGTCCATGAACAGACCACTGGCTGCATCCGCGGCCACAGGTTCGCTTTCGTCTGTTTTGCTGTGGGTTCTTCAGGAGAGCCTACGGAGGACTCCTATTATTACTGAGGTTCCATCGCTGCCTCCTCCTCTGGATATCCAACAGTGCCCTACTTTAGAGCCTCCGACGACTGACTTCTGGATTGGCCTCTGCATAGGCTTCGTTATCTGGCCTTTGATTGAGCTTTTGGTCCTTTTGAAGCAGTGGCTTGTTCTTGTGCTGCGTCAGCGTTTGACCAGTGGATTCGGCGGTGGTGACGGAAAGCTATATAGGGTTCTTGCTTGAGCTAAAGTAGCATCCTCAGATACTTTGTGCTTCCATAGCTTGAAGGTCTTTGCAGCTTGCTTCTTCAACATAGCAATTGCCCAGTGACTTCATCAGGTTCATTTGAGTTGTTCGGAGGTGCTAGGACACCAGGAAACTGCGGGAAGAACAGTTTCAAGGCTTTATGGCCTTGTCTGCGCACCTCATTGCAGTTCAAGCGGAGCTACAAGGAGAGGCTTTGGTGACACCGACTGGCGTGGACCCCAATTTTGCGCTAGGTCAGATCCAAGGGCAAGAGCCGCCAGGTGAAAGCATTAGCATAGCCATAGTTGCCTGCGTCGGGCCCAAGGTGCTTGTCTCAGTGCCAGGAGGTGCTTGGGACAAAAAGGCCAGCAAAAGAAAATTGCCAGCTAGTTGTTTGGAAAAACCATTATCACTAGCTGTTGCTGGCTGCACTATTGAGGACCGTGAGACGGCTTTAGATTCCCAACAGCTCACCGTTTGGCTTGGGTGGCTGAAGTCAGAATTTTGGGAGCGAATTAGCTTTGAGCTTTCCGATCCCCCTGCAGTTGATTTCATCTGCCGAGCGACTGGGGAAGCATGCTTCCCATTCGGTGCCGCTCTGTTGGAAGCCGCAAAAGAGAAGTTTCAAGTCAACGCAGGGCCGGGAACCTTCCAAGACGAGGATCGCATCTCGGCTCTGGAGCACAAGTTCCAATCCTTGCAGACGGGATTGGACGAACTTCTTGCACACCACAGAGGCGAGTCTGGGTATGTCACAGCAAGCGATGGCTGGTTCAAGCCCAGGAGAGAGCAAGTCCTGCAAAGCAAGGCGAAAGTTGCAGCCACTCCTCCCGGTTTGGGGGGGTCGTCTCCTATTCCGGGTCTGGACCCAGGGACAGTGGCAGCAGCTCTGCAGGCAGGAGTGCCAATGGAGCAGCTTGCAGCCATGGGAAAAGTTTTGCAGGGGAAGCCCAGCAAATTGGAGGATGTTCCGCGTACTGCAGCGGAAGCGATGAGTTCAGAATCAGAAGGAGAGTTGTGCGGCGCATCGCTCACTGCTGGCCATGCGAAGCAGCTAGACGATCACAAGGGCACCCCTGCAGACCCCATGACAAAAGCCGTGCTGCAGCTGACGCAGATCGTTGGCAAGCTTTCCAAGCGAAAAGAGGACACGCTAGAAGACACCTTAGATGCGATGGGCGGCACAAGTGGATCTGGGTCGGCAGATGTGTCGGCCTCGTTGGGTCGAAAACACGCTGCAGCCCGGCAGGCTTTGATCAAGACGTTCAAGGACAACCCAGCTCAAATTTGGAAGTCCATCGAAAACAATATGAGTCAGGATTTCCATCTGTGCAGCGCGCTGCCGAACAGCTCAGCCGCAACCTTCACAGCACGTGGCTGGGCCGAGCACCGCTCAAAGATACAAGGCTACGTGCGGACTGTGAGATGGGTGTGGGGCATCGCTGGCGTGCTGGACAGTTTGAGAGATGGGCAGACAGATGCTGCTCGTGCCCGGTGCTGCCTGCTCTTAGCCATGGCAGAACAAGAGAGCCTGGATCACGGATCATTTCTCCTTGCCCAAGAGTTTTCCATGGAGCCTGCTGCCCCAGTGAGCAGTTTCCAACAACATGTCTTACCAGAGCCAACAGAGATGGCCACAACGAAGCTTTTGGACCCGAGGTGGATAGAGGCTTTTGCAGATCGGTTGAAGCAGGTGGACAGCTACATGGAAATGCGAAAGAAACTCAACCTCCGATCAAAGCCTGCTCCCGTCCAGACGCCCTTGAAAGAAAAAGGCAAGGGCGGAGGAGGCGGAGGAAAGGGGAAAGGCAAGAAATCAGAGAAGCCGGAGGGGGAAGCCGATTAGGCCCGCAGGCCTGCGGCATGGCCATGGGTGCTTGCACGCGGCCGAATCCGGAAGGTCCTTTGCTGTGCTCTTCTACACCAGCGCGGGGGGATTGTATCCCTACTGCAAACTACAGTCGGGGGCCTCTCCGTGATTCTGGTCAGCCTGCTGATTGCCCTTTGGCTTGCGACAAAGCCCAGCCCGGCAATTTTGAGGCAGTCGATTTTTTGAACCAAAGCAAGGATTTTTTTCTGCATGCCAAGCTTAGTAGCGGTGAAGCTGCGGCTGAACACAATGGGGCCGCCGACTTTGTGGACACGAAGAATGTCCCTGGGTCCAATGCTTCGACCATTCAAATTCAATCTTTGTGGCGCGCCTTGCCTCGTTTGATTTTGAAGGCAGGTACGCCTTTTGCAAGTTTCTTCAGGACAATGCTTGAACAGCCGCAGACGGCCTCTCCAACTGGCCGAACAGCTTCCATTTGGCCAATGGGATTGCCTTATGAAGAGAACAAGTCCCGTGGTCTTGTCGACTATGAGGAGTCCGCATTCCGGAGGCTTTTGAACCTTCAAATTGCTTTTCTCAACCATTTGCATTTGGGGTGCCCTCTTGTTGCTCCGGATCACATCCGCCAAGGCTCTTGCCTTAGTGCTAAACAGTGGGCGGTAGTGGCTCGGCTCCGTCGGCTCGGTGAAGCTTGGAAATGTCTCAAGCCCATCTCTGCAAAAGACATGGGTAGAACAGCGGCAAAGCAAGAGAGGCAAGAGGAAGTTCTTGCTCAACTCTATGAAGTAGCTCGAGGTGCTGCGCAGGGTCTGAAAAAGTATGCACCGCAAGGCGGTGGGGTCAGCGTCACTAGGCCCAGCAGGGAATCTGGTGAAGTCATAGGAAAGCTCCAAAAGGCTGACATTTCCGGTGCCCAATCCATCATTGCTTCTAGGATCAAAATGGAGGGAAAGCCAACGTTTGATCCGCGACCTTTTCTTGATGATGATTCGCGAAACTTGTATGAAGACCCGTGGGCTTGTAACATTGAACCTTGCAAAGCTGTCCTTCATCCCCCTCGGGTCCAAGTTCATGCGGTTTTGGAAGAAAAGTTAGCTTTACTACGTTTGCTAGAAGCTAGTGGTAGGTTGGCTTTTCGGGGTCAGAATGAAGTTGTTGAGGGCTTTGGCAACGGCTTATTTAGCGTCGTGAAGAATACTGAAGTTGATCGCCTTATTCTTGACGGTAGGCCCGCAAACAAGCTTCAATGTCCTCCCAACAAGTACATCATGACCATGGGCGCGGCGTCAACTCTCTTGGGTATTTTCTTGGAGCCATCAGAGAAGCTGCTTATGGGTGGTGATGACTTGTCAAATTTCTTTTACACATTTGCTGTCAATGAAGCACGGGAAGCGCGAAATTTTTTGGAGTGGAAGATTCCGGTAAAAATCGCACAAAGATTTTCTTGTTTCCCGGCCTATTTGTCCACTGAAGAGTTTGTGTACGCATGTTTGTCAAGCTTGGCTATGGGCGATTCAGCAGCATGTGAGTACGCGCAAACGGCGCACATTTCTATGGGTCTACAATGCGGGGCTTTCAACGAAGAGCATCTACTAACTCTACACGGTCGCGTCCCGCGGTCCCATTTCATGTCTGGTATCATCATTGACGACTATATCACGGTTGAGAAGGTTCACATGGATGCCACGCATGCAAGCGAGTCAGGCACGCGTAGGTCACGTATGCACAGTGTCTATAAGCAGGTGAAGTTGGATGCGCACCCTACTAAAGGTTTTGCCGACGAAGAGGTTGCCAGCTTCTGGGGTGCCGATGTTGACGGACGTGCTGGGTTGGTGCGCGGCTCGATTTCACGGGCAGCGTCCTTGATCTGTGTTACAGTCCAGGTTGCGTGCTTGGGTGTTGCTTCGGTATCCCTTCTGGAGGTTTTGGCAGGTGGCTTCGTGTCGCTCTTTGCTTTCCGTCGGCGAATGATGTCTCTTTTGGACTGGATCTACGTGGTTCAGGGAGGTAGGGAACAACGGGATATTTTGCGTCTTCCTGCTCATGCAATCGATGAGTTGTGGTCTCTGGCGATCCTCGGTAGCCTTGCTGTAACTGATTTGCGTTCTACGTTCCTTGATGAGATCTTTATGGTGGATGCTTCCAACTGGGGGGATGCTGTTGTTAGTGCTGCGCTGCCTTTGGAGGTTAGTAAGGAAATGCATCGGCATGGGGTTAACAAGTCCTGTTGGACGAAGCTTTTGTCACCTTTCAAAGCTCACCATCGTGGGAAAGCCCTTTTATCCCCTGAAGAAGAACTTCCTGGGGATGAGGTTGCGTTCACTGAACATCCCTTGTGGGAGGTCTGCGCTAGAGGTTTGGACTATCAGGTGTGTTGGAAGCGACAGGCAAAGGCTGGGCGTCACATCAACCGTGGGGAGCTGGCCTCTTTCCTGCGTGCCGAAGTGTTGGGTGCTCGCGCTGGTGGTGATATTCGCGTTGCTATAGGTAGCGATTCGCAGGTCACACTTGGTGCTGTCTCCAAGGGTCGGTCGGCTTCGCCAATCTTGAACCGGTGTCTCAAGCAAAGCCTTCCACACGTATTAGGTCTTGGTATTTATTCTTCTGGGGGTTACGTCCGATCTGCCTTCAATCCAGCTGATGACCCAACTAGGGGGGTGGCTTTGCGCATTGCGGATATTGTTCTACCAGTTTGGTGGACAGCACTGGCGCAGGGTAACACACGTTTATTTGACGAGTTTCTGGCAGCTTGCAATCTCCATCCTCTACAAATGAGTGGTTTTCCAAGCTTGAACCAGTTGGTCATGCAAGATGAAAGTGTGCTTGACAGTTCAATACGTAAGTCAATGCGAAGTTTCCATTTGAAGATCAAGAAGAACCTGCGGCTCAAAGCCGCCGCAAAAGTTGGCAAAGCGGATGCTCAGGTATCTAAAGCATGTGAAACATGTACAGGTTCAGGGCCACATTTGACTTGTGAAGCACAAGAAATGTTAACCAGTTTCGGCCGAGAACAATTTATCTCTCATGATAGTGTTTGGCCACCTTCTCAACCTGGTTTCTTAGATTTGTATTCCGGAAGGCGTGGTTTAGCTCGTTTTGCTGTCAGCTATGGTGCGCCATGGGTATTGTGCATTGATGTGAAAGATGGTCCCCAATGCGATCTCCTCTCTCCAGAAGTTCGCAAGAAAATAGACCACATGTTGGCTTTGGGTGTTTTCATTTTTGTGTCTGCTGCTATCATTGGCACTTCCTTTTCAAGAGCTATTACACCTGCAGTGCGAAGTTTTGAACACCCGGACGGTTTGGCTGGCGTCTCATGGCGTATGCGGGAAAAAATTTCTGTCGGAAACAGTCACTCGAGATGGTTGGCTTCCCTGGTCCGCAGCTGCATCAACATGGGTATTGGCTATTTGGTGGAGAATCCTGACAATTCTTTTCTCTGGCTTCAAAAAGAGTGGACGAATTTGCCTCATGGAGCCGCAGAAAGGTTTTTCAAAGTTGATTTTTGCAGATTCAATACAGCATGGCGAAGACGCACGCGTTTTCTGACAAATGGGCGTTTGGCTCATGTACGGCATTTATGTCAGTCAGACCATCGGCACTTGGTCCTTAGAGGCCGATCAAAGAAACATGGTGCATCTTGGGCCAAAATTGGGGAGCCCTATCCTCGAGGGCTTTGTGCTCTCTTGGCTCGTTCTATTTGTTTGGATTTAGGCATCTACAGCAGCCCAAACAGTTTGCCATGTAGGTCAAACCATCGCCGGATTGGCGAAGCAAAAAATCCTGGGCCAAGATTTAAAAAATTGCAGCCAAAGGATGTTTCTGCTTTAGACAAGGTAGAGCTGGTCAGTCGAGCAACCATGGCCCTTGGCAGTGGGCAGTTTGAAAAGTTTGTTTTTTGGGTTAAGCAGCATTTTGGTGGAGATGCGTTGCATTACATCTGGTGGGTGCCAACCTTGTTTGGAGCTGTTTTGGCAGCATATGGCCGCCATTGGTATGGCTTAGGTGGCGCTTTGTACAATTACAGGCATTTGGTAGTTTATTGTCAGCGTGAGATTCCCAATTTGCGGGGTGGTCTTGATGCAGCTTGGAAAATTATCAGTAAATGGGAAGAGCTGGAACCTGTGCAACATCGCAGACCAATACCTTTGGTTCTCTTGCAAGCCATGGTGGTAGTAGCTTTGCAGTGGCAGTGGCATAGGGTAGCTGGTATCCTTCTCCTCACTTTCCATGCTTGTTGTCGGCCAGGCGAAGTGCTTGGGGCTAGAAGAGCAAACTTAGTGCTGCCTGAAGACTTGGGCGGCAACTATGGCGATCCTTGTTTTTTGAAGATCACAAAACCAAAGCCTGGAAGAAGAGGGCTTGGAAGAATCCAACATGCTAAGGTCCGAGATGGCACTGTTTCGCGTTTCCTTTCCAGTTTGTTTGGAAAGCTTGATGCGGATGAAGCCTTGTACCCTGGAACTGCAAGCTCCTTCCGGACGAGATGGCGTCATTTGCTTATAGCTCTTGGTGTGCCCCCTGCTGCAAAAATTTCTCCAGGTTGCCTTCGCGCGGGCGGGACAGTAGAGCTTTACCGCCAAGGAATGCCAATTATGGACATTCTGTGGGCGCTCAGGTTGAAAAACCTCGAAACTTTGCAGCACTATTTGCAAGAAATCTCCACTGATGTCACTATGATTGACCTACCATGTAGCAGCCGTGTGCTCATACAGAACATGTCGCTTTTGTTTTTGCATTTCCTTTCTGTTCATGGACAGTGAAACGGGTGAAGTACAGCGAGCGCGCAACGTTGACCGTTGCTGGCCTCTAGTCAGTAGTGGATGACTACCAGAAGCTTTTCTTTTGATCAATCTGAGACTACGCTGGATTTACCATTTTTTCGATTCTTCGATTGGCTTATCCATCTCATTCCTTTTGATCCTTGCTTCTGGCACGTGTCTCCGTCGACTACAATCTCATGGACTAGAGAGCGGCAAGCATTGTCCAGAAAAATGAATGTGAAGTGCAGCAGGGGGCACACATCTCATGTTCCTCATGTGATTTGTGGCCAACGCTGAGTTTCGGCCCGGCCCTCGTGCCACCCTTGGATGACTACCAGAAGCTTTTCTTTTGATCAATCTGAGACTACGCTGGATTTACCATTTTTTCGATTCTTCGATTGGCTTATCCATCTCATTCCTTTTGATCCTTGCTTCTGGCACGTGTCTCCGTCGACTACAATCTCATGGACTAGAGAGCGGCAAGCATTGTCCAGAAAAATGAATGTGAAGTGCAGCAGGGGGCACACATCTCATATAATATAAATATCATACATATATACATATATGTGTTTCTATCCAGGTATGTTCACACCGACACATAAAAGACATATGTGTATATGTAAATATATACATATATATATATATATATGTTTGTAGGTCTGACATACGTACATATATATATATGTATGTATGTATGTGAATATATACTTATGAGTATACATATTTCATCGGATTCAATATGAATTCGACACACACACACACAAATATATATATATATACAACTGTCTATATCTATCTATCACCCTGAACCACCTCTTGGTGTGTGTGTCTGCGGAGATGGGAATGCTGTGTTATTCTCTATTATCTTAAATATATTTTAATCAGTTATATTTAGTATGAAGGAAGTATATGTTGGTATTATATCACATGACATATATATATATCACATGATCTAAATACAAATACACAAACACATATATATTATATAGTTATATAATCATATACGTGTACCTATATACATATATATAAATATATTTATACATAGCTATAATTTCGTATGGGTATAATATGGGGCTCAAAGGATCCAAATTGATGTCCCCAAATCAAAATCCCAAGCCCCATAATTGACTGCAAAAGTTTTTTTCCTCTTTACGGGGACTTTACGGGGACTCTTCTCTATGGAGACTTTTTCTCTCTCTCTATGGACTTTTCGTCTTTACGGGGACTTTACGGGGACTCTTCTCTATGGAGACTTTTTCTCTCTCTATGGAGACTTTTCCTCTTTACGGGGACTTTACGGGGACTTTACGGGGACTCTTCTCTATGGAGACTTTTTCTCTCTCTATGGAGACTTTTCCTCTTTACGGGGACTTTACGGGGACTCTTCTCTATGGAGACTTTTTCTCTCTCTATGGAGACTCTCTTTCTCTTTACGGGGACTTTACGGGGACTTTACGGGGACTCTTCTCTATGGAGACTTTTTCTCTCTCTATGGAGACTTTTCCTCTTTACGGGGACTTTACGGGGACTCTTCTCTATGGAGACTTTTTCTCTCTCTATGGAGACTTTTCCTCTTTACGGAGACTTTACGGGGACTTTACGGGGACTCTTCTCTATGGAGACTTTTTCTCTCTCCATGGAGACTTTTCCTCTTTACGGGGACTTTACGGGGACTTTTACGGGGACTTTACGGGGACTCTTCTCTATGGAGACTTTTTCTCTCTCTATGGAAACTTTTCCTCTTTACGGGGACTTTACGGGGACTTTACGGGGACTCTTCTCTATGGAGACTTTTTCTCTCTCTATGGAGACTTTTCCTCTTTTCTCTCTTGCGGACAGGTGAGGAGACAGGAGAGAAGAAGAGAGAGGAGAGAGGAGAGGAGAGAGGTTAATGGTTAGGGTTAGTACACCTAGTAATGGTTAAAAAAAATTATTTGAGGGTTAGATTCCCCATGGGGTTAGAAAAGCATGCGTGTAATGGTAATGAATTCCCCATAAAGGGGTTAGAAAGGCAACTTAATATAAGGGTTAGGCGTGGTCGTGCCTGCCAATGATCTTGGGATAAACGGAAGCGATGCAATTCCTCTGACCTCAGCGAACCTTGGTTGGCTTTTTGCCACTAGTTGGTGCTCAGTGGCCTTTCAGGATTTCTGACACATCTACAAAGATACGCGCGACATGTCTCATGACAAATTGTAAAGATACACATACACATATGTACACAATACAGTAGTGTACATATACATAGTTTCCTGACACTATCAGGTGATTTTGTCCATGTTTCCAGCCAATCAATCATGCACATAGCATAGTTTGCTCATTGACATCTGCATTTGCAGGGCCGTCTTATGGAATCTGGGCTTAAACAATGCAGTGAATTTCTGTATCGCGCGTTTGAGACAAAAGGTACTCCAAGTAAGCCTTGGCAGCAACGGAATGGAGTTGTTTGTCTTCAGCCCAAATCCTTTCATGGTTGAACTGGTTGTGAATGGGATTTAACCATCAAAATTTGTGCATTTAACCATCAAAAATGATGGATTTAAATAAGCCATCCAAATTATTTTTGTTGTTGTTGTTGAAGTGGTTGATTATTGGCTATATCCCCATGATGCCATGCACATTATTGATTGGACCGAGCGTGGTTGGACAAAGCCCCAGTGTTGGTGGTTCATTCTGGTGTTGCTGGTCATATTGTTGGTATGGATTGGGTATCCCTATCAGTGTTTGTTATGTGACCTACTGTCCCCGTTTTTTTCGTTGTATATAGCCCCACCATTTGTTGGCAATTTGAAGTATATATTTGCATTGGAATCATTCGATGGTCCCATGATCAGTGGGTCATAACCCCACTGTTGTCCGTTACATTCCCACCAAATCACATTTGTTTCAGGTGGATTCGGATGTTTTACGCTGCTTCAGTGCTACTGGGCAGAATGTTTCTTCCGGGCGTTGAAGCACCATGCAACTCCAGTGATATGTGGCTTTGGATTTGACAATTTTGACCAATCCACCAGTTGATTACTTGATCTTGACCGGTCTGGGTTGTCACATTCGCACAACCTTCAACGCATATCAACCCGTTAAATGGATGCTTGAATCCCAGTTTTTGGTCAAATCTCCAGTTCTTGATGCTTCAGTTGCAATTGAGAAAAAAATAAGACGACAGGATTTATACAACACTTGAGCGAAGACCTGAAAGGTTCATGCAGAAACCTTTACATGAGAGGTCATAGGGTGGAAAACGTTGCCCAAACCATGGAACGCGATATGGTGAACTACTTAAAGCGATAACGAGAATTGATGGTGAAGTTGAAAGGTGTTGTTGTTTTTCGCAGCCATTTGGGATTGTATAGCAACCTCACATGCATTGTTTTAGTATTCGTCGGATGTGAATCCATGGGCTCCCAAAAGGCCTAGAGGTGCTCGCAAAAGGCCTAGAGTACGCACTTCTGACCACAGAACGTGCTGCCAAAACCTGTCATGACACAGGCTCTGGAAAGCAGAGACTTGAGAAACAATCTTAATTTATCGATAACCAAATCGATAACGTAGCGATAACAAAAAAATTGACAAACCGTGTCCCGGGCAGCCAGAGACCCAATCCATCCCTATCATCGCTGGAGTGGCGCACTTCAATTTTGTGACAATGTCTTGAAGCATCTACTTGGGTGGTCCAGCCTGGCCAAGAAACCTACCATTGAACAAATGATCTAAAGATCCAAAGAGATGAGCAGAATCTGCAGCAGAAGAAGGCGCGCAACAGTACAAAAACCAAGCTGTTCCGATGGAAATTCCTTCCGCACGTTGAAGACAAACAGTGGACAGCAGACTGCTGACCATGAAGTGCCCCCTATTGTTGATTCTGTGGAGATGAATGGAAATCGATCTCCAAATCAACAGCCATTGTTTGACATGCTCCAAAACCATGTAATTAAATCGATATAGCTTAAATCGATAACTTTTGCTCATGGCCGCCTTTGTGATCCTTAGTTTTGGTGCCTACTCACTTGAAATGTTTTCTGCGGTGTGTAGATTGCCTAGGCCGCGTAGGCTTTTGTCTAGGCGGGTGGAGTTTCGCAGGCTTCGCATAGGCGTGTTCAATACAGCGATGTCTGCGTAGACTGTCATTCTGGTGGCATAGGCTTTGCGTAGGAGTGATATAGGCGAGCCAATGCGAACCATAAAATACAACAGCCCAGAAAGTTCAAGAGTATATATAACGGAAATAAAGGAAAACCCCAAATAAAATTACCTTTTTAAGAAAATCCTTTTCCGGTGGTTAAACCACAATTTTTTGAGGCTTAAATATTTTTCTTTGCTGCGGGCCCAGTGGCACCCCATTTCAGGTCGCCATGCCCATATGAACCGTTTAACTTACACTTGACGGTTGAATTATGTTGAATCCCGACTCTTGTTGCTTAAACTTGGTCAAACACCATTTTTTCATGGTTCAAACATCTTGAAATCAAGATTCTGGCTGGGGAAACACTCTTATTCACCCCGCTTCGCGTGGGGTGGCCGCCCACACCGCAGGTTTATTTCGGTCCGTGAGAGGGGCTAAGGGTGGTTTTCCCCCGTGGGGACTCCCCAAGCTAAGAATTTTCACTTTCCCCCCCCGTGGGGGCTCCCCAAGCTAGGGAATTTTCACTTTTCCCCCCCCTTAAGGCTCCCCAAGCTAGGGAATTTTCACTTTTCCCCCCCGTGGGGGCTCCCCAAGCTAGGGAATTTTCACTTTTCCCCCTGCGTGGGGGCTCCCCAAGCTAGGGAATTTTCACTTTTCCCCCCCGTGGGGGTTCCCCAAGCTAGGGAATTTTCACTTTTCCCCGCCGTGACAGCTTCCCAAGCTATGGAATTTTCACTTTTCCCTCCCTTGGAGGCCCTCCAAGCTGCGGAATTTCAAATAGCTAGACAACGACGCCTAGATAGTCCCCCAAATCCCGTGTTCTTTGAATGTGTTTCCATGTTTTTGCAATGGTTTCCTTCAAAGCACGGTACTTTACACTTTTGTCGCCATAAAACCGGTCGAAAACATCATGTTCGACAATGCTTCCAATTCCCTTATCTCCCCAACCGTTGAAAATACCGCTATTTACAGTGTTTTCTTCAATTTTTCCATGTGCCAATGCCGGTAGCCAACTCCAACATATATATAAGAAATCCTTCCAAAACATTGTTTTTGACAGTGTTTTTCCAATGTTTCCAGTCAAACAGACGGTAATTTACACGTTTTTTGCCATAAAGGCAGTAAATCCTTCCAAAAAATTGCTTTTGACAGTGTTTTTGTAATGTTTCCAGTCAAGCATACGGTAATTTACACGTTTTTTGCTATAACGTCAGTCCAAAACACTTGTTTTTGCAGTGTTTTCAATGCTCTGGCATCCAAAAACCCTGCAAAATCTTGCTATGTACAATGTTTTTTTCATTTTTGGCCGTTTTTCCATTGCCGGAAAGCTACCAAAATGACCCAAAATTCCATTTCAATACCCTCTTGCGCTCAGACACCCAAAAATCCTCGAAAAATGTCGAAAACACCACCGTATTCTGGTCTCGGTGCGAAACCGTTTTTGGCCCCCCCCCCCAGCTAAAGCTGATATAGCGACTGCTATATTAACAAATGTCATTGAGCATTTAGTGTTGCTGTTGCCCCCCAATAAGCACGCCTTCACCGCCAAAGCGGTGTGGGCGGATTTGGTGTTCCCCTAGGTAACCTGGAAGAACATATTTTTCCAGAGTGGCCCCAATCAACCTGGTTGGTGGTTTCAATTTGCCAAAAATTGCCGTCGTTGAGATGATCTTCTCCCCAGTGAGAAAATCATATTTCTCAGGGGTGTGGTTTCACCAACAACCAGTAACCAGTAAAAACTGGGGGATTAATAGTGAATAGAATATATGATTTCCCTACACCAAACAGTGGTTTTCCATAGCTATCTTACGTTGCCAGAGGGTAAACCATGGTAAACCCTAAACCCTCAACCCTGAGAATCATAGTAAAATCCCATCATCCACTACATCCAAGATTCTGGCTAGTTGGTTACATAGTTGTATATATATATATATGTATACATATTATCCCCATTTTATTTACATAGGGACATATACTAAATGGGAATAATTACAAATGTCCCCATAGAAATAAAATAAAATTTGGGAATATATACAAATAACATATAGTTAGATTATGTTAGATTCTATGTTGACCCAAATTTCAGGCTGCCCAAAAAAACCAACGTGTGACCCAGGATGCCCTGAGAAGCGCCGAGCGCGCACTTCAGCCGGCAGCATCGTGGGAGCTGCGCTCTGCTCAGGCTGGGGCTCAGATCGGGTTCAGCCACAAAAAATGGGAGATTGAACCAAGAAACATGGATGATTCACCAACAAAAAATGGATTGATTTCACAACAAACTTGGGATTAAACCAACAAAAATTGCAATTAAACCAACAATACATGGGGATTTCAGTGGATTTCACCAACAGAATGAGGATTTCTAAGTGATTAAAACAACAATCATGAAGGTTTCCCCCATTCCAGCAAAAAATGGTAGTTGACCAGTAAAAACATTAGAATTTGACCCGTAAACAAACATGGCCTTTCACCAATGAACAAGATGAAATCAACCACCAACAAGTCGAAATTTGAACAGTATAACAGTAAACACATGGAATTTGACCGAATTGGAAATCAACATTTATCCACCAATAATCCAGAGGAGAGACCTAACAACAGCACTGAACCAAATCATGAGGATACCACCCTGGGAATGAAGGTGGCTGAAGTATGATGAAGTCAGCGACTCTCCCAGTGCGCTCAATGGGGTAGAGTTTTTATTTAGAATCTATATGGAAGTTTCAGCAAAACAAATAGCAGTCATAATCACTTGGGTATGGGTCAGGATGAATCAAAATGCCCGCGAAAGGGATGGTCTTGCATGGGAGGCCATGCTACAAGTCCTCTTGGAGCAGGCGAGCAAATCATTTTCTGAGCTTTCCATTCAACCTTATTTTGGCATGCACGCACCCTGTGTATATATTAATCATATAATAATATACTGCCTACATATGTTATGTTCATAAGTATGTCATGTATTGAATAGATGTGTATATGAATACATACAATGGACATGTCCAAGGATTCGTCTTTGGCCAAAAGGACATTCATCACAGGTTCAACGCAAGCTGAGCAACTGGAAGTAGATATTGGTCGTGTGCCCGATTGAACCATCCACCACATTATTCTTTCTTATAAAGTGGTCGAACCCACGTTTGGGGTGATTTTAAAGTATGACTTCGTTTCTGTTGGGATGGTAAAATCTCCACTTATGGTGATTAACTCCCAATCTTTGATAATTGATTTATGGTTGTTAAATCCTAATTCTTGATGGTTAAATATCAGTTTCTGGTGTTACATCCCAAATTGTTGATGGTTTAGAACCCAAATTTTTGACGGTTGAATTCCCCATGTCTTATCTATTTTTGATGGTTTATGTAATCCCAATTTTTGATGCTTCAAAACGCAAGTCTTGATGGTTATTCATCCCAGTTGTTGATGGTGAAATCCAAGTTTTTCATCGTTTAAAGCAAGTTTTTGCTGGTCAACTTCCCATTTTTCTCATCGCGAAAGGTCTCTCAGCGATGCAGAGAGGCGCAGGTGCGTTTTACTTCGAAGCGCTTCTGCTGTCATTGGACAGTCACATGTTGTGGGATGGTCGTCAAATATCCTATCAATATGATATTACTATATTACTGTGATTATTACTACTAGTACTATCATTTCTTAGTCTAATGATATTGTCCTATATCAGTATCGTATCAGTACGTGCATGTTAATTGTCCTCTTATATAGGATCCTATAGATGATACTGTCATATATACAGTACAATATGATACTGTCTTATGTGTATATATATATAACACCCTCTGGTAGTCAAACGTGGCTTGGTGAAAAATCCACCATAAAGTTCCACTTTTATCCTAACTATAAGCCTCCATGTAGTTTGCAGATGTTCCATTGCCACGTTTGATTACCAGAGGGTAATAGGGTTTGGATTCCCATAAGATGGAATGGAAGACCATCCGTTCCATAAACCCCATGTTTTGACCCATCCACACATAAATATTACCTACACTAATGTAAAATACTGATATGCTGCTGCTTAACTCAAGATACTCAAGTGTGTGAATTATTCAGAATCTAATCAGCAGCATCTACGCGAAAATTTAGTGGACCCTCTAGAGGTATGCTACAGGTATATATATATACACCATATTTTTTCTTTTCATTATAGTCATCCGACATGGATGAATATGGAAATTTCACAGAAATCCTCACGAATTTTGGGCTATGTCTGACCAATCCATCTTCTATCTAGTTCAGGATAACTACGTATCTACAGTCACCCCCACAAAGATCATATACTGTAATGTTTTCCAGTGCCTTGGAATTGCTTTTACTCTTCGATCTATTTGGAGGTTGCTCTGAAGGAAAAAAAACGGGCATTTTCAGGTGTCTGAATCAAATCTATATATGATGAAAGATTAGATTGAATCTGTGTATCACTAAGCATGCATACAGTATACAATAAGATCGGTGACTACATTCATATTCTGATTGGAGTGAGGTATTGACAGAGCAGTATTGACCAGCGCCTGGTGGATATCGGGCGATGCAGTTCATACAGAAAGCTGTAACTATTGGCTCGGGAAATACTGGCGATGACCTGAAGAGAGCCGTTGTGAACATTGGTAGTATGAGTTTGTCAGAAACTTGTGAGTATGTCCAGTATGTCCGAAAAGTTGCAACATGCCAAATCCTACGACCCTGCGCCTTTACCTATACTTAAATGAATAGTCAAATGGATTCAAATGGTAGATTATTCGGGTCCGCCATTTTCAGGAAATGTTCGTTCTGACTTTCAACATGGATTTTAGTCCAATTCTGTTCTGCAAGATCCAATTTCTTCTTCATTCACGCCCCCATTGTTTTTTTGTTTCACGTGGTAAACCCAATATTGAACCTACCATTTGGTGCATCAATGTTATATACCACCCGTTTAGGGCAATCTGTGGGGTCAACAATGAACCAACAACGATCATGGATGCTACGAAAGAGACAAATTAATCTAGATACTACTCAACATTGACAATAATGAATCATAATGATGCTGGATAAGCATCTAGACAAGAATGAATCAACAATTATCTAAAAATCACCAGGGTTTTTCTGACTAACCCTCGGTCTCCAAGCCCGAAACATGCTGTCCCCCAGCGCTTCTACGGCGCCGTCGTCGCGCCCAGCGCTGCTGATTCGCGTCTCGCAGGGAACAGCGGCGACGTTGCTAGGCCTGGCCGCAGGCGAGGAAGTGGGAGAGGGTGGAGGGGTTTGGTCAATATAGGTGGTGTATTAGGGATACAATTGGTATAATAGGGATATAATACAACATGATTTTTGACTATAGAATTAACATGATTTCGCCATAATTTTGGGGATTTAACATGTTTTAACCAACAAAAATGGTGGTATATTGGGAATATATTAGGATGTAATAGGAGTCGGTATATTTCTGGTAGATGTTGGATGATTTGGTAGATTCCTGGATTTGTTTGGCTGATTCTGATGATTTGTTGAAGGATTTTTTTTGATATAGTCTGGTAGATCTTGGTGATTGTATGCGTCGTCGTATGGGTAATTTTGGTGTTTGTTTGTTTGTGTTGCTCCATGACATCCATCGCCATAGATTTTTTGTTTGAGTGTCAATGGTCAAGAGCTACATCCGAATAATGTCTATGATATATTCAAGTTCATGTTGCACCCAGGCTTCAAATTACCAAGTAATAATATGTCAAATTCAATTCATGACTGAGAGTCTTAAGCAAGACCCTTGACTATTAGTTTGTCAATCTCGGACAAACGGCATCCGCAATATCAATGAACACTTGCTCCGCAAATTACCCTCTGGTTATTTACCATAGCCAAGGAAAACGTCCCCATTTCTAGATGGTTTATGATGATTTATCCAGCTAAAAATGGTAATGTTCATTCATTTTCCATAGCTATGTGCTATGTTCAATAACCACCAATTAACCTCTTAAAAGTGGTGACTTTCCGATAGCTATGTGTGAAATAAGATAAATAATATCAGATGGTACATATCAGGCCTCAACATCCGCCAAGCATCGCTGAACTCGGTCTTTCTGCAACTGCTGGGATTCTGCTGTGCCCTTTCCGCGCTGCTGGCCACCTCCCGTGTGGTGCGGAGAACCTCGGGGGGTTCAGCAGTAGATGTTGAAATGCCATGGGGAAATCCCTAGGAACATGATCTACTGTGCAAATGGTTGTAAACTCCACATCGAAGTGTTCGTAAAAACAGGAGGGTATCCATTTATTCATAGGGACTTCAATAGGGTTCAATAGTGGTTTAATGGAGACAATGATTGGGTGAATACCCTCCGGTCATCAGCCACGTGGCTTGCTGGAAAATCCCACATTGTAGAGGATTTTCCCAGCTAAGAAACCTCCAATTACTTTCCCAGCTAGCCATGTTTGTTTACCGATAGGTAACTAGGTTTATGGTAGATATACTGCATCGATAGTATTCTGTAGTTGATGGGGGTTATAAACCACCTTGCAACTGGAATGTGAGATTTACCCAATGCCATAAACCTACCATTTGGGGATGATATTTACCACTCATTTGTGGTAATATTGGGATTGTTTCATTATTGGGATTACCGAATTGATAACCACTCCTAAGGACCCGCCGAAACGAGACGGTCAGCCGGGCTACAAAGCATTGAGCCACCCAAAGTTGCTGTGTGCTCCTGTACTCAATAGTCAGAAAGTCCAGAGTCTTACCAGCTCTAAGAATGGTGTTTGTCGCATCAAAAAGGCAAAACCCAAGATACTGAGATGAGTTTTCGGGAGGTTGCTTTCGGACAGCCCTTTCCGAGGAGATTGGAAGAAGTGCTTCCTAAGCCTTGGGCTTCTGGCCAATGTGGCCGCTGTTCTGGCTCTTATGGACGAGCATGTAACTTCGCCAGGTTAAGGGGCTGACCAGAAGGTTTTTGAGCACTTCCCAATATATCCCAGCCATCAGGGGGCAATGACTCAATCACAAATAAACCTCTTTTCACCTCATCCCATGTTTTCAGGGCCCAATTTTTGGTGACACACAACAAATTTTCCAACAGGAAAAAACCATCTGCAACACCGCCATCCCAGGTGGTGATTGAAATCATCTACGTCTTGGGCTTTCGTGAAGGTTTGTGGCACCTCTTAGGTCTGGTGCTTTGTGCCTTTTGCATTTCGGCCAACTTCGTGGGCTTGGCCGTGCTGCCGGGCCAGGTGTGCCCCGAGTTGATGAAATCCCCAATTTCTTTGTTCGTTTGATACACAGTCAACTTACTGTACCACTAAATCATCATTTTAGTTCACCACCATATTCACCACCAATTCACCAGGAAATCACAATTCACATTAACTCGCCATGACATCCAATGATCACCCTTTCATATGCTACAGTCCCTAATTTCTCCCCTTGTTTGCTTGGCAGAATGCTCCATTTTTCTTCGCAAACTCATCATTTTCGTTGCTTCAATCAGGGAAATCCCACATTCTTGTTGCTTAAATTTGGTTAGGTTTTATAATTTTAAGAGTTGCATCAATTCAAAAAATCCCACTTTTCCCACATTTTCATGGTGAAATCCCCAGAAATCACCCCAGTTATCCCAGTTTTGGTGCTGAAAAAAACACATTTTTCCCAGGTCTTCACGGCCAGCCGCACCTTGGACCTGGGCGCTGCGGCCTGGATCGACCTGGAGGCACGCTCGCCGGTGCCTGTGCCTGGGCGGTCCGGTTCGGCTGAGTATTTTTGGGTGGTGAAAAAAGATCGCTAAAAAAGCGTTAAAGGGTCCTAATATGTCCTGATTCTGAAGATTTCTGAAGGACTTGAAGATTGTTGAAACATGTTTAAACCAAGAATTTTCAGTTTTTTGGGTGTTTGATAGCTGTTTTTTGTTGGTAAACAAGCACCACCACGGTAACAGCTCCACCCGCCGCTGAGGTCTGCTGCATCTCCCTGTCGATCCGTTGGAGCGTGAAACTCACACTGGTCACGGCCATGGCTAGCTCGCTGGTGGCGGGTTTCTATGTGGCCATGCATCCCAAGGCGTTCCGACGGGTGAAGCTACAACTTGTGGAGAAAAGAACACAAGTTGGGATTTGTAATAAATTATATATAATTATATATATATAATTATAATATAATATATATTCAAGCAAACATTGAGATTCAAACTTCAAACCGGCAAAATGGGATGAGATTTAAGCAGCCAAAATGGGAATTTAAATGGATTTCATCAGCAGAAGTACGGATAGCAATGGCTTTCAAAACCACCGGGTTTTTGGGCAGCTGGAGGGGTCAAACTCAAAAATCGCATGGGAAAAAACGTGTTCAGCGTTGGAAATGATGTGGATTTTTTGGTATGGGTCAACAGGGATCACTGGGAACCAGAGGTTTGTTGATTTTTAGTAGTAAACCAAAGCCTATTCTGGGGTATCCAGACCCATAAAAACATCTGGATTTCAACCCCCGCGGTGGGGATTTGACCAGTGACCAACCATCCCATCAGTATACTGTGCCACTGAACTTCAATGGTTGCAGGTTGAGAGTGTTCTTCCCCTCCCTTTAGCAGCGCGGCCAACTTGTTGTGTGTTTGGGAGTCGGGGACATGGCGGTCGAGCGCAAAATGGCCTTACAATGCTTTACACATCTTTTTGTGTATATATTATATATATATTATATATACACACACCAATCACACATGTCAAATTCTCGCATAGAGTGAGAAAGGTATATATATTATCTAGAGGTACAAGTTGGTACAAGTCGCAATATTGACGCAAGGAAGCTTCATTGGCTTCCAGAGCATGGGGCATGACAGCTCAGCTGTTTGGGCGTTTTGTTTGGACGTCAAATATGGCTTGACCATACTTGACCCCCCCAAAAGGTGATCCCCAAAAAAAGAGGCTTCAGATTCCTCGTAAAAATCTCCGTGGTCGTTTTTTTGCTTCAGGCATCCACAAAGATTTCCTTATCATCCCATTATATCCCAATCTCTCATCATTTTTCCCTTGTTGAAGCATGTTTCCCTGGTTTGGATGCTTCTTTTTTGATGCTGGGCCACCATTTTCCTGTGAAATCCACTGAGGGCATCACATTGGCCCTGCTGCCGCCCATTGTCACCGGCCTGGGTGCTGGCAGTGCTTGGGCCTGGCCTCAGCGGGGGCCTCGGGACCACATGCCCTTGGCTGGTTGTATACATGATCGTTGGTCTCAATCCACATGTTGATATATTTATAGATATATGTTTAAAGATTTTAAAGATCCGATCATGTTGTTCTTCTTCAAAATCCTCAGTTGCCAATTTAGTAAGTAGTTGGATGCAACGGTGGTACCATATATATATAATTATATATATATATGTATATATATACACACATATCTACATCCGTTGATATTATATATTATATGATTATATATCATATGATACCATGTATATTTCTTTAGTTATCGCCTTTGCAGGTCTTGGTCTTCCCACGCCGTGCCCGTGCCCAAGGGTGATGAACCTCTCAGTTCGCACGCACTTGGCCCGGCGCAGCCTGGCCGTGGCGCTCTTCGGGGCCGTGGCGCTGCTGACGGTGCGAAAAGCCGTGGGACCCTGGGGGAAATTTTACGAAAAGATGTGGAAAACCGGAAAACCATGGAAAATCCATGGAAATCCTAGGAAAATGATGTACACATGGTATCAAATGGTCGTTTTACCCTCATCTTTTTGCATGTTTAGGTAAAGGAGAAACTCACTTATCATAATTTGCCACTCGCTTAGTAAGATTTGTTCAAGCTTCTTTCTTAAAAATAATGGGTTGCTACATAGAAATACATCCACACTGTATATGTATGTATGTATGTATGTATGTGTGTGTGTATGTATGTATGTAATGTAATGTAATGTAATGTAATGTTATGTAATGTTATGTAATGTTATGTATGTATGTATGTATGTATGTATGTAATGTATGTAATGTATGTAATGTATGTAATGTATGTAATGTATGTAATGTATGTAATGTATGTAATGTATGCAATGTAT